TAAGGCAACATCTCCTCCCTTTTTTCCCTGCTGCTCCTTCCTGTCCCCCACCTTCACATATTTGCTAATATTTGTGAGGGTAAAAAGTAGTTCTTCCATCCTGAGTGGGCTCAGGACAAACCTGGTTTGCAAACTGTACAGGCAGCTGGATCCCACCCACGTGCATGCTGGTCGTGGGTCCCACTGGGCTAGGGAAATCAGGGATACCATATGTGCACACATGCAGGCACAACAGGAAGGCAGAGGATGACATCTGCCTGTGCTTATGGACACCTTCACATCCTGTACAGCTGCTGGAAGAGACACATGAGGGAACACTATCACAAAACTTGTGGGCTACGAACTTTGTGGGGTTTTGTTTCCTTGCAAATGAAGACCATTCACGATTCAGTCCTGTGTAATTGCACACATTACAGACAATTAGAACAGGACATCTCTTCTCGGTAATCACCTGAGGGGTGGGTTTGTGCTGTGAGGGGGTGGCCAAGTTGTAATGCAGTCATCTTGCAATGTTTTTGTCTTCACTATTTATACTTGTTTAGAAACCTCTGTTATTGGGAGCTCCCAATCTTTCTTAACGACCTATGAGGATTTGCTTGTGGGGGGAAGAGGGGTTACACAGCCAGTCACCATTTATTGTCAGCAGTGCTAATTGTATTTAAAAGATGTATAGCGCACTAATCACTACTACAATTGCATGGCAAGTTGGGGTGTAACTCTACAGTGCATTAGCCTGCCATGTGCACCCTGCTGCGCAGAAAGTCAAAGTACACTATGGAGCTTTTAGCATGTGATAGCAGGGTCCACACAGAAACTTAGTATGCAGCAGGCTGGTGCGCTGTACATTAACACTCTGGCTTGCCACGCACTAAGTCTCAGTGTGGACAAGCCCTTAGTCTCTGCATCTGGTTCCTATCTCTCTGAGGAAGTGCAAGAGAGCCATCAGGAAGGACAGCACTGCATAGTGTCCTATAGGAATACATGTAGTGTTACCAACTCTTGTTATTTTATCACAAGTGCCATGGTATTTGTGGTTTTCTTAAAGCCCTCACCTTCTGGAGTCATCCACAGCTTTCATAAAAAAGAAAAAGCTTCTAGGCTTCATAGCAGTGGGAAAAAGCTAGAAAATGGCAACCCTAAGTGCTGAAAAAACAAATGAAGAAAACTAAAATGCATATTTTAAAATTATCATTATTTTAAGCCAATCCTGTAATATTTTGAGCCTTGAGTTATGACTTTTGAACACCTGGGTTTGACAATACTGTGTGGCAACTTTACACGTACTGCTGAAATGTAAATCTTTCTAGCACATCCCTACCTATACGATTTGGTGAGCAGGTCCAGGAACTCAAAGCCTTCAGTGACATTTCTCAAGCAAATAGCTTTATATTCATGATACATGTTGTGTACTGTAGCACCTCAGAGTTACGAACACCAGAGTTATGAACTGTCCAGTCAACCCCACATCTCATTTGGAACCAGAGGTACGAAATCAGGCAGTAGCAGAGACAAAAAAAAAAGGCAAATACAGTTCATACTGTGTTAAATGTAAATTATTAAAAAGAATAAATGGGATGTTAAAAAAGATTCTACAAGCTAAGGAAATTGTTTCTGTGCTTGTTTCATTTAAATTAAGTTGGTTAAAAGCAACATTTTTCTTCTGCATAGTAAAGTTTCAAAGCTGTATTTAGTCAGTGTTCAATTGTAAACTTTTGAAAGAACAACCATAACATTTTGTTAGAGTTACGAACATTTCAGAGTTATGAATAACCTCCATTCTTGAGGTATTAAAAACTCTGAGGTTCTACTGTAGTATCAGTAAATCTGAACCATTCTATGTATGCATAGGTAATGTGGGCTAATTTTCAAACTTGGGCACCTACTTTAGGAAGACAAATTCCACATATGGGTGCTCAAGTTGACATTTAAGCAGCCACACATTTAAGACCTGCAAAATATGCTTTGAATGCCTAAATTCAGAAAATTTGATTCCATATCTAGATTGTTTCTTGTCCACAAAACTTCCTAAGCTAACTGTTACCAGTTGAAGTTATTTTTATCTTTTGGCTCAAAGAATTTGTGTTCACTTAAAAAAATAGAAGAGTTCTTGAACTTCAGTAAATATATTTATTTTTAGGGTATCGTGATTCAGGAATCTCTTGTCCAATTCTCCACTTTGGCCATATATATATATATAGACTCCATATATCAGTTTTGTCTATTGATCTGAGAAGTAATTTCACATACAATGGAAACTCAGCAACAGCCTTAATCATGGACCATCGAGCACAACACATAATTAGACAATAGACAAAGTAGTCCATTATGCTTAATTTCTTACAGCGGGAATTAGATTCTTCTCAGGCAATATCAATTGCTAGGCATAAATGAGATCACCAGAACCATGTAATCAGTACTCACCAAACCACTATTTTCTACCAGGATGCTCTCTTATATTCAGATATTTCAAATATGAGTAAGTTGTCATGTTGTTTGACATTCGGTTTTGAAAGGTAAATGCCAATAAATTCTGTGCTCTAGTAAGCTAATTATATGACATAACTTCAATAATTATAACTCTCAGAATTCTTACATGCCACCCAAATGACCTGAGCAAGGTAATTTAAAGGTAAACAGACTCAGCAGCTGAGGAGAATTATTCGCATCTGACGTACCTACAAACCTGTGAAATTCACCTTGCAGAAACTGAACAAATGGGTGGAGTGATTAGCTTTTCCTCTACCTCCGTCTCTTCAGATTCTCTTTGGATACATTTGTAAATCCACTGAGAATAGCGTTATCAGTAATGTTTCCACTTAACCACTGAAGTGTGAAAAAATGTTTTCATTGTTACTTACTGCATGAGGCCACTAGACTACACAAGTTTAGGTTATGGCTCATTTCCTATAGTTTTCCGGCAATGCTAATACAAAATAGAAACATGAGCCAGCATCATGCTGTAGTTAACTGAACAGCAGCATTATGATATAAAATATTTTCAAGGTAAATTTCCTCAGGTTATTGTGGCACACTGTAAGTAAACTTGAGTACATGCGTTTAAAAAACTAAAAAACTGATTTCCAGAGCTGCTCAGCATTGCTGAGAATGAAATTGTCAGTTTTTAGGATGTTATAAGCTGCCTATTAAGATTCCTATATGCCATATTATTTGAATGCCTCATGCGAGCTATCCATATCTGTCCTAAGAGACATGAGACCACACTTCTGTGTTGCCAGACCCATCAAAGAATCTGCTCCATTGTATATAAATGCTAATACTGTTGGATAATGTGTGTAAAAATGCTTAATCACAATTTAGGCCATGTTGAAGAGGCTCTTTCATACTGAGAAATGTTAAAAATCTATCCTATAAAAGCACACTCAAAAGTATATTTAAGAATAGTTTTTTAATTGTGCTAATTAATAAATTAATAAAGCAAGATTTCTTTTCCCCTTTAATGTCGATTTTCCGCTCCCTTTATCCTTCACTGAAGCTGTAATGTTGAACTTGCGATGGACCAGTCTTTGCCATAGCAATATACAACAACTACATAAACACAGAAATATGAATTCCCTGTGGAATCAAGTAGAAGCACAAGTCATGTTTAGGAAGAAAATTCTCATTCAAACACAAATATCTTCAGTAATAGGAACATAGAAATCTACTGTCCTTTGCTTTTTGGTTTAAATGGCCCATTTCCCCCCCCCAAATTTGCTCAAGCCTGGAAGTCCCTACTTTAAGAATGCCTTGTCTGCTCTAAAACAGAGTTTATAAAAGGTTTGGCTACTATTGTGAGTTCAGGTTTTATCCATGTACCACAGATTTAAAAATATATTCTGGTTTTAATTTTGGTGTCATGGAAATATGTGATTTTCAATCTGAGACAAAAACATACTTCAGCAAACTCAATGAACATTGTGGAGAAAAAGAATTAGATAAGATGAAAAGAAACATAAGAGTGTTCATAGCAGTTAATTTAATCTACTCATGTTCAGAAGTTTAGTAGAGTTTTTTTATAAGTTGCAAATTTAGGACACTATCTGAACATTAGCTGTTAAACAATTTGCACAATCATTGTGGCATATCATATGGTCTTTAAATTATATTACTACTACTATGGAATGTAAACTGATGGTTATTTATATTCAAATCTTATGCAAAATGTGATAGATATGACAAACAAGACATACCGCAGAACGTTTTCTTCTTTTACTGTAGTTCCTATAATCAAAGTAACCATATGGACTGAAACAAATTCTTCTCAGTTACACAGGTACAACTCAAATGACTTCAGTAAGGTAGAGAGTTAGAATTTGGACCTCACCTTGTATGGATTTGATCCTGTAAACCCTTACTCACATAAATAGTCCACAGGAATATGCTTGAATAAATATACTACATTCGCACCACATGGTGATAACATTCTATTAGAGCTTGTAGGGAATTTTTCAAAGTTGCTTGATGAAAAATGTCAATATTTCTTTGTTTTCTTATTAGTTCTAATTCCTAAACTCCACTTGTTGTCCTTGTTAATGAAAGACCTCAAGAGGGCAAATTATACCTGTTTAACCTCACTGATGTCACAGTGAATCAGTCCATCAGTACATCTATTGCAGTATCCTCTCCCTGTCATTTGTCAGTAAAAGATCTAGAGAAGGTTCAAGAAACCACCCATAGAACATTTATGAAATATCTTGCCCACAGGGGAAATTTCTTCCTATACATCATCAATTAGTGGTTACTTTATGATCTGAAATGTGCGGGTTTTTAGACATATCTATTTCATCTACATTAATACTGGATGTTCACTTTATCTGCACAAATATCTAATCCTGTCCTGAATCTTTCAAGCTTTTGGATTCAATTATGTGGTGTGGAAATGAATTCCACCTGATAATATGCATTGTGAAGAGAAGCATTTCTTTTGTTGACTTTTAATTCTTCTGGATACTCCCTTTTTCTTTTAGATGGAAAAGAATAAACAAACATGCCTGATTTACCTTTTCTGGACCATTCATTATTTTATATGCAGCAAACGGGAATTTCACAGTCTTGCTTTCCAGGTACAGTTGTACACTCAATATTGTGATGGCCTGCTATGGAACAGTGGCTGTGACCTGCAACAGATGTGTGCATGAAGTCAGAAGGGACTTCCTATGTATGAAGGACAAGTTGGTAACTGTCCTGGAAGAAAAAAATTCTTGGATTAGAAAGGCAAGTACAGATGCTATGGAGTATCAGAGAAGCTGAGACATTTGGGAAACACCAGATTCAAGGAAGAAAGGAGCTGGCTACCAAAGAAACAGGGAGTAAACATCAGAGAGGAGGTCTTGCAGATCATAACCACCAGAGACAAGAGGACAAGGCAGCATTCTACAAGGCTGTGGCAGATGAGGAAGGGCAGGGTTTGACCACCAGAAAAAAAGAGAATCAGGAGGAATTTCACAGAGCTAGAAGTTTTCAATCATTACCATGGCCTCCGCATGGAAATTATGGATGATATCTCTGAAGATCCAACTGGTCAAATGGAATGAAGAGGTGTATAGAGCACACCTCATAAGAGCCCAACCCATAAGAAAATCAAGCTCGCCAATGAAGAGATTTCCAAACACCCAAGGAAGACAGAAGATCCTTTTGAACACTCTATCCTAAGAATAATGGAATGAACATTCTACAATGGACAGGATACTAAAAGATGGTGGCAACCTCCGAGATGTGAGTCTAAGATAGACTTCTGAATTTGGTGGGCAAAGATACAATGGTTATGGTGCATATCAGCACTAATGACTTGCTTTGTGGGATAGTTCATACGTTATAAATGATTTCAGAGAATTCAGAAGACTGCGGAAGGAGAAGAATGTCCAAGTGATCTTCCTGGAGATCCTTCCTGATCCAGATAACTTGCATTCAAGAGCTTTTAAAGACCTGGCTGTGGAGCTCTCAGGACCATTAATATTGATTTTCAGTAAGTCTTGGAACAATGGGGAAGTTCCCAAGAATTGGAAGAAAGCTAATGTTGTACCAATATTTTCGAAGGGTAAATGGGATGACTCCAGTAATTATAGGTCTATCAGCCTGACATTGATCCAGGACAAAAGAATGGAATGTCTGGTATAGGATTGGATTAATAAAAAATGAAAGGAAGGTAATATGATTAATGCAAATCAATATGGTTTTATAGAAAATACATCTTGTTAAACTAATTTGATATCAGATTTGGTTGATAAAGTTGGCAGTGTTGATATAAAATTTTATAAAAGTGATTCTGCTTGTAAATAAATGGTTTATTTTCAGGTATTAGAGAGGTAAAATTAATTTATTCTAAGTCATTACAGTGGGGACTCACATTTTTAAATTAAATGTGAAATAAGGCAGAGGTTTACTATTGTAAAATGCTTTATAGAATAAATTCTGTCTTTCAAACAAAATAATTCTAGAATATATATAGAGAGAGGATTGGTCTTGTGCTGAATACACTGGACTGGGACTCTGGAGAGCTGGGTTAAATTGTGAGTTTGCAATCAACCTTCTGTATGACCTTGGGCAAGTTACTCAAGGTCTTTGCCTGAATTTATCACCTGTAAAATTGAGGACAATAATACTTCTCTGTCCCCACACTTTGTCTTGTTACTTAGATAGTGAGTTCTTGAAGGCAGTGACTGAGTCTCATTATGTTTATTATTAGTTCTATTATTTATATCACAGTAGCACCTACAGCCCAATTGTGGTAGGCACTGTACAAACACAAAAGAGAAAGATGGTCCCTACCCCAAATAACTTACAATCTAAGTAAACTTTTATAATCGCAATACATTATTTATAGTGCCCAACACAATGGAGCTTTGATCGCATTTAATGGCAGGTGCTAAAATACAAACAACAACATCGGGCCACATTCCTGGCCCATGTGTGGCCCACCTGTGCTGTTCCAACAGCAGTGCTAGCAAGTGCAAGTACCATAACTGATTGATCCAAACTAGTATTACATGGAATAGCGTGCACTGCCTCTCATCCCTCTTTCTGCAAAGGCTCAAAACTGAAAGAAATAGGAAAAAGGCATTAAAAATGGTTATCCCCAGTAACTTAAATGAAAAAAATTGCAAGAGCATGAGAGCCAAAAAGGCCTAGAGAGGGGGGAAAAGGTGTCAAGAGCTGGGAGATTAGACTGATCACATCCTGAAATCAAGACCACTCAGAATCATAGAAACGTAGTGCTGAAAGAGATCTTGAGAGATCATCTAGTCCATTTTACTGCTCTGAGGCAGAATTAATACATAATGACCTAAGCAATCTGCTAGTAAGTTTGACCATCAAAGCTAAATAAACAGCAGATGGAAAACATGGTAGCACAGAGCTCAATCCCAGATGTGGATGGTTTTCTGGCAGAGAAGGTTGGACCACACAACTCCTGGAGTGGAGATAATTGCATGAAGGAGAAAAGAAAGCTATTTAATAAGCGTCATCAAGTGATGAGGTACTGCATAGAAATGTGATCCTCAGTGAAGTATAGGCGTTTTGAAGCGTAGATGTAAATCAGACTGCCAGGTTGTCAACTTTTAAAAGAGGAATTATGCCTCACATTTAAAATTTGATTCACCAGTTTTTAATTCTTAATGGTGAGCTGAGAGTACATCTACACTGCAAAAATAAAATAAAATAAAAAAACCCATAACAGCATGTATCAGAGCCCAGGTCAATTGACTTGGGCTCTTGCTATGGGGCTAAAAATAGCAGTATAGACATGAAGCAGGGCTTCAGCTAGAGCCCAGGCTCTGAAACGCAGTGAGGAGGAAGGGTCTCGGAGCCTGGGCTCTCATCCTGAGCCCAAACTTCTACACTGGTATTTTTAGCCCTGTAGTGCGAGCCTGTTCAGACTGAGTAGGGTGACCACCTTTTAAAAGGTAAAAGTGGGACACATGCAGGAATCCCGCCCTCTCTGTGGCCTCGCCCCTGCTCCTCAAGCCTGGGAATGGAACTTGAACTCTGTATTTCCAGACTGTCCCGCCCAATTTGGGACAGGTGGTCATCCTAAGCCCGAGTCAGTGACTCTGAGTCTAGCTGCTGAGAGGCTGTCTTTGCAGTGTGGACATATTGGGAGGGAAGAGCTCAAATGTGGACAGCATGTAGTACACTGGGGAAGTCATCATTATACAAATAAATAATAATAGTTGCAATCTCTGATCACTCTTTTCAGAATGATTATCACTCTGGTGTCTTAATCAGCCTTAATTTTATTTGCTCTTACTGTGGCCTTGAACACAATTAGTGACAGCAGAGTCATGAGTTGTTATTGGAGATGCTTTTGTGTTTGCCCTTTGAAAGTTGTAATTCTGTCCTTAAGATACTTCTGCAAAAAATGTAGATGTTCAACTGTTATATTCCAAATAGTTACAGTAATTCCCCAAGACCCTATCCTAGTGCATGTTGGGTATGCAGTCCTGTCTTAAGGAAAGCTATCCGTTCTGTAGTATCAGTGAGATTCCAGCCATAATACTGTAATTGATTGTTGACAAGATTTGTGTTCCCTCCTACAGTGTCTTAACTGAAATTATAACTAGCTTAGCTACTTATCTCTTTTCTACCTCAGATTTCAGATACTCTGAATGTGCATGTATGCTATTAGAGTTATAATCAGACCTACGCCACAGGGATGTTTCTACGCAGTGCCTCAAATTGTTTGTCTATAACAGTGCAACATTCATTTACGCATTTATCATCTGACTAAATAATCCTATTCTACTACCAGCTATCATATCTTTAGTGATATTAAAGCAACATTAACAAACTGAAAAGTAATCCTGTTAGGACGCAGACAATGAATTTGACTTGGTTTCCTTCAAGATTTTGTGTGGGGCAAATATTAAATACTTCAGATGAAGGTGTGAAACTACTGTAGTAGAAAATTTACAATACTGTGCCTATGGAAATAGTTTCTTACTGGCCTGCTTATGTCCTGAAACACAAATAGTGAAATCCTTTTAAAATCCTAACCCCAGTTCCCATATACAAAGTGCAAAATGCAGCTTGGAATGTGGGACAAGGGCTGTAAGCCACCTTTGTACTCTCCAATCTTGAGTCACTCAAGAAGAGGCTCCTGATAGCAGCAGCAAAATGGGCGATTCAGCATCTGTGACTGGCTAGTGGACGTAACTCTTATGGTAAAGATAGTTTTCACTGGTCATGGAGAGGAGCTAATGAACTGTCCAACAGTTTCCTTCTGAGGATGATATTCTGCAAGAGGACAGACAGTTCAGTAAGTGTGAAACGGATTTTTCCAAAATGGCTGACTATATTTTTCATGTTGTTTTGACTGGTGGCTAGTGAGATTCCTGTAGTTTTCTTTTTGTTGGTAAACAGATTAGGTTTTTTTGGTTGTTGCTCAGCAGTTGCTGCTGTTCCTGATCAAGAAGTGGTTTCATTTTTTTATGTAGAAACATTATATTTATATTTTTCTAGCTTTTTATAGGAGAGGAGGAAAGGATAGTTTGCTAATTTTACAGAGTGAAGAAAAATAGTAAATGAGAAAAAGGAAGTGATAGTTCCTGTTGCCTGACAGGTTATGGAAAGGTTTTGACAAGGTGGAAATACTGTATCCATATAACATCTGTGGGCCCAATTCTCATTTAAACAAAGGCCACTTACATCACCTGGCAATGTACAGTGCACAAACATAGATTAGTTTAGAATTGAGTTGCGTTTAAATGAGAACCGGGCCATGTATATTTATAGAACACTGAGATAATCTGAAACCTCTCACTGGATTGTGCAGCATGTTAGTTGAAATAGCTGCCATATAACTATCTGAGGCCTGGCAGCCAGGCGGTTAAAGCCTTGTTTAAAGCAGCCTCACACTGCTGCAGCTGCTGCTTGTGATTTCAGAGGGAACAGCAACCTGAGGTTTGAGTGGCCTACAGTTCAGCAAACAATCTAATTGTGCAGCACGAATTCCTGGAGGGGAATGTCAATGAGCCTAATTGGTTGCTTAGAGCTGGTTTGGGAGCAATGGAGGACTATATACCAGCAAGGGGGAAGGAACAGAAAGGGACACTAAGAGAACTATACAAATCTCTATTCACTAGGCTTCAGGGAACAACCTCCTTTTCACCTAGACTTCTCT